GGTCAGAAATGAGACAAAGGTTTATTCATATCACAAGCCATCTGCTTTCACTCATCATGACTAGCATTTCCTGCATGTACCGTCTACCATTCCAGCAGGGAAGAAGAAAATTAGAGCTAAATATTTTTTTCAGTTTTCCTAAGCAATGGGAAGCATTACAAGAAAAAACACACTGAAGGAAAATGTTTTCTCAGAAGTATTCAGTCAGTATCGGGAAAGGCCTATTAACACAGGCATCTATTCAAACGTGAAGTGAGATTTCAGCTCTCATTACTGTGATTACTTTGAGAAGCTCTGCACAGTGCGTCTTTCTGTGAGGGGACTACTTGTCATTTTAAGGTGCAACCTCTAACTCTATAGCCCTTAAAGAACCAGAGAACAGTAGTGAAGAATCCTGAAGATGACAAGGATTAGAAACAAAATATTCTGAAGGAACATGAATTTTCTATCTGTGGAACATGGCTGTGGGCATCAAGCACAAAATGCTACTCTATTTTAGCACCTAGAATCCCCAAACTTAATCTGCTAATACAGAAAACCAGTATGAGGTAATGGTTTGTGCATGTGTTCTGGGACGTGAAAGAGCCAGTTTCTAAACCCCAACAAAGAGACGAAATTTACAGTGTGGCCTCAGGCCAGTCCTTCTCTCACAATATCATGTACACTTCATACAATTACTCTGAAGATAAAGCAGGCAGGAGAGCCCTGTATGCCACTGGGAGCTTAGTGGAGGAAAAAAAACTGAGATATAGATATAATAAATAAACAGTCTGAGGAAGTATAATTCTGCATGAGTTCCATGACGGCTGTTTTACAGAAACTGGCTCAAGCCTCTACTTTGCAAATGGCTGTCAGATCTGCACTAACACTCAGCCAAATGGGAATTCTTTCAGAAGGAACGAGCAAGCAGTCCATAAGGGCTTTTATGAGCCCCTTCCCCAACATCCCACCTGCCATCTTGAGCCCCAGGATCGGTCCTGGAAGTCTCAAGTTTTGATATAAATCTGCCCCCTCTGTCAGAAAAGCAAGGGGATATTCAGCCCCTTGCTCTTTGGAACTTTCTCACAGGTTTTTTTTTTTTTTTTTTTTTTTTTTTTTTTTTTNATTGTATTTTCAGAGGCGGTGTGGCCCACAGGCGATTCTGGGGGTAGAGCCTTTGCCCATGAGACTTTCCCCAGCTGTGCTGTTGAGATTTTTCAGGAGTTCACCTCCTGTCTCTTTCAGAGGCTCTCTTGACAGGGCTATTGAATCATCTGAAAAGAAACATAGATGATGGTCTTTGATAATTCATCCATATGGCAGCCTGCTAGAAGGTCCATGTGAAAGACTGCTGGAAGAGCTTTTCTCCACGTTTCAGAAGAACGACCTGAGGAAAACCATTCAGACCCCATCTGTCAACTGGAGAAGGACCAGCTACAGAGATATGTTACTTTCCTCTTGACCGAAAGCATATTTATAAGGACTTTAAAACTACAATTGACTGCCTATAGTTGTACTTTTCCTCTTACCTCTCAATAATTTTCCTTTTATGATGTCTATTATGTTAAACAAGAGCCTTTCTTGTTAGCAGTCTTGGTAAACTGTCCTGGGAGATTTGTTTAGGTAGAGTAAGGTAAAGATTCTTTTACTCAGGGGTGCACAGCCAACAGTTTCCCAATGCTTGGTGCTGATGTGGTGTGTGCATAGCAGAGTGGACGTACAACTCTGTTCCCCATCCAAGCTTGGAAATATAACTTTATGGGGGAAAAAAGTTCCCAGAATCTTCTAGGAAGCATGGCCAGGAGCCTTGAGGCCAAAGCAGTTGTGCATCCCTACATTTAACTAAGAAATGAAAGAACTTCGGGTAAGACTACTGTGGCTAAGAAACTGAGGACCCTTTTCCCAGTTGCCTGTTTACAAAAATAAAAAACTTTTAAAAATTAGACTGTTGATCAATCAAGTCTTTGAAGAGTGTGTGGATTATGCATCTAATCAATTGATACATTATGTGTGGACCTTAAAAGTGTGGATAAATTACATGTGCACTTAGGAATGAGAGTACATTAAAAAGAAAAAAAAAAACACACCCAATCAACAGAGCAAAAACACAAATTCAAAATGAGCACTCCCTCGTTTTTAATTGCAGATCCTAAATGCCCATCATCTTGCTTGATTACTGGCATCTCATATGATAATATCACACATTTTGCTAATAACCTTCTGTGTGGACTGTTTACAGCAGGGCTCTCAAACTCAATTTACCTTGGGGTCACTGGAGGTCTGGGCCACATCAGATTTTCCGCCAAGCGGAGCAAGAGCCCGAGGAAGCAGCCCAGGAGTTTCCTAGGCCCGGCTGGGGCTCCGAGGAGGAGGAGGAGGGGCACACAAGCCCTTGTCGCTGACCACGACCCCTTCCGGCTCCTTCTTCACTACCACCACCACACCACCACCAAAGCAGAGGAGGGAGGGAGTGCCTGCGACCGCCTAGCCGGAGGGGGGGCACGACATAAAATAAAATAAAAACCTTCACAGAATTTGCCTTGCCAAAAGGAGAAAAGCCCCTATCGGTAACCACAAAATTAAACAAAATGGGGCGGGGGCCCCCACAGGTGCACACAGGCGCACACACACAAACACACACACACAGGGAGGTCTAGCAACCTTCCTCTGAGGCCCCCCTCAAAAAAAGGTGCAGTCAGCAGCAGCAGCTACCCCCACCGCGAGAAGAGGAGCAAACTTTGCAAGGCGAGCCCAGGCAGCCTCCAGAGCTGAGGCGGCTGAAGCACTCTGCTCTCAGGCATCGCTCGGCCGTGGCTTGAGGAAAAGGGCCGGCAGTGCCTCTTGCTCACCGGCTCTCCCCCAAGACAGCGCCTCTTACATCCTCCATCCAGAACTGCAACTGCCAGCCCCCAGACAGGTGGGCTGGCTGGCAGGCTGCAGTTCCGGATGGAGGGTGCAAGAGAGCCCCCCACAGCATGCATGCACACAAACACACACACACACAAACAGACACACACACACACGGAGGTTGGGCAACCTTCCTCTGAGGGTCCCCCTCAAAAAAAGGCACACTCTGCAGCAGCAGCTACCCCCACCACGACAGAGGAGCAGACTTTGCGAGGCGAGCCCAGGCAGCCTCCAGAGCCGAGGTGGCTGAAGCAGGACGAGGAGGAGGAGGAGGCACCGTTGGGCACTGAGGCGGCTGCTGGCTGAGCTGGTGCTGGGGGTGCCTTGGTCGCTGAGGCGGCTACTGGCTGAGCTGGTGCTGGGGGTGCCAAGAGAGCCAGAGGGCTGCTATCCTGGAAGAGGCAGCAGCGGCAGCTGCTGTTGGTAGCTTGGAGGTGCTCTTCGAGGATGGGACAAGAGCGAACTCTGCTCTCACGCATCACTCGGCCATGGATTGGGAAAAGGGCCAGCAGTGCCCCGTGCTCACTGGCTCTCCCCCAAGACAGCACCGTACAGATTTTGGAATGACTGGATAGTAGTGTTGATATGAAGACCAGGAGAGAAGGACAAAAGGAGGGCAAGATCTGGGCTTAGCTAGTCACAAAACACCACAGGGAATATTGCAGCCAACAACACTGTCAGCCCAACACCGAGTGCCCAAATGTCATTTGTGAGTGTCAAATCCCAGGAAAAATAAGAACAATTATGTGCCATCAAGTAGATTCTGATCTATGGTGACCCTTGCCAGGCCTTTCTAGATACAGTGGTGCCTCGTTTAACGACTGTCTTGCTTAACAAGGAAATAGCTTGATGATTAGGTTTTTGCAAAAATGGGCTTTTTTCGCTTCCCGGCGATCGGTTCCCTGCTTCGGGAACTGATTTTCGCATTACGACGATCTAAAAACAGCTGATCATCAGGTTTCAAAATGGCCACCGGGTGTACAAAATGGCCCCCCGCTGTTTTCTAGGACGGATTCCTCGCTTTACAGGCAGCGAAAATGGCTGCCCCATGGAGGATCTTCGCTGGACGGTGAGTTTTCAGCCCATTGGAATGCATTGAAGGGTTTTCAATGCGTTTCAATGGGCTTTTTTTAAAAACAAGAATTTTGTTCTACAGCGATTTCACTGGAACGGATTATCCTCGTTAAGCGAGGCACCACTGTACAGAGTATGGAGAAGTGGTTTACCAGTCCCTCTTCATCTGACTGTGGATTATGCAGAATGCCCAAAGCTACATACAGTTGTCTGGTTCATCTCAGGGGAGGCACAGTGAGAAACTGAATTCCTGGCTCCTGGCTCCATGGCCAGGTTCTCCAGTTCACTGAGCTATCCAGCCAGGTCCCTTTTGAAATACAAACCATTCTGAGTATATCACCCCAGAAGTAAGAGACAGATGATTGCTCGTATGTGCCTCCCACATCTTGTATCACTTCTCACAGGCTTGAAAAAAAAATCCCTTTCTGGAATTTCTAGAATGCCCAATAATTTCTAGAATGCCCAATCCAGCAAGGCAAGTTTGCAGTATCCCTATGATAGCTAGGGAACTGTTAGGTTAGAGATGTGGAAAATAACATTTCCCAACAAGCCTTCCCATGTAGCTTCCAGCATAATACTCTTTGAAGCAGTTGGTTAGCATGCACTTTATCAGGGCTGATTCACACATGCACATGCCCTGCTTGATGACTGCAACATCAAGAGATGGTTGCACATGGGGAAACAAGAGATCATACAGAGAACACCATTGACAGAGCTTTCATTTCATCCCAAAGCCATTGGTTTCAGCTGGTTAGTCCGGCAAGGATGCACATCTGCATATGTGTCACTGGAAGGGTCTGTCCCTGATGGTTATGCATATGAAGAATGTGCAAACCGATGCAAAGAACACGACTGACACCCTGCTAGACCTCCTTTATAACCCATGTTTTCCTACAGTATTGGTCTCATTTAAATCCCCACAATGTTCCTAATGCTGTGTTGCTGTGGGGCATTGTGGGAAATTAAGATGGCAAGGCTCAGTTGGGCCTTTCTCCTTCATTTATCCACAATGCCTTGGAACAACACCATGAAACTTTTGTTGTAGGGAAATTTCAACAGAGGCTTCCCTGACAAGGCTTGGGAGACTACTGCTAGCTTGGAGTATTCCTTTTAAAAAGAATGAATATAATAAAATGCTGAAGATATTTGCAACTGGGAAATGGTAGGATATTGCCTTGGGACTGATGTGCTTCGACCACTGAGTCATATCCATTTCCCTAAGGAGAAAGAGACCTGCTGATGAAGGAGGGGGCTGTTAAACCTGAAATGCAAATGATACACACATTAACTAGCCCTAAATAACACCAATTTTCAGTGGCACTTATTTCCAAGTTCATATTCTTAAGATTTTGGCCAAATAATATCTTTTAAAAAGAGAGAGCAAGAGCCCTATTCATTCTTAGTTCAAAATGAACAGTACCCGTTATTTTCAATATTAATAATCACTTTTGTCTTTTTACCCAAGAACACACGTCTATACAATGCAAATCTTCCATTTTACTCTGTTGGCAAGGGAGGCTCCTGCTGGGAGATACCAGCTATGTTAAGCCTCATTTGTTCCATTTAATGAAAAAATAAAATCCCCCATTCTCTGCAGCCTCAAATCATCAAGGCCAACCTAACTATCCGCAACAAGGATATCCTCCTCGACTAATGATAACTCCATATTATCGTTGGGAGAGGATTTGACTCGAAAATTGAAGGAGCCATATAGTTTGGCTGATTCCCTGGAAGCAGCGAACCTGTGGCTCCTGTAGAGTTCTCCTTTCCACATCGACATCATGAGCAAACTAGACAGCACAACACCACCCAAGGTCAAGAGGCAGAGCCCAGCAATCACACACCTATCTAAGTGAGCCCCAATCCTGGCACTCTCATTCTCCAACCGCTCCATCTCCCTGGCCGCCACTGTGTCGGGGTCCACAGTCACATCTCTGGGAACTATGTAGGAGATGATCACCAACAAAATCCCACTGGCTAGGAAGAAGATGGCACTGACAAAACCATAATCAATAGACTTCCCACCAGCGTCTTCTGAGCCGGTGTCATCATCTTCCTCAGAAACCAAGGAGGGTGGGTCGTAGGGCCATTGGAGGGCCATCTCCCCACAAGACACTCCATGGCTTTGGAGATCTGGGTCTTGGCAAAAGCTCCTAGGGTCCAGATTTCCTGTGTGGTCCACATTGTTGACGTTTTCGTCCACACAGATGAAGGAGGTCTCTGATTCACAACAGCAGGGCCTCTTTTGGAGTGCCTGTTTTCCTTCTTGTGGAAGGGCAGGATGACAGGTGACCTCACCTGCGGTCATGATTTCTGGGGATAGTGATGAGGCGGCAACAAAGGAAAGAGGAGTCTGGGCAGGATCTTCTTTGATTGCCCTCTGGATGGCTTTGCAGTGGCCCTCACCAGACTCGGTATCCATAGCTTGCACTCTAGTCCATTCCTCACTTTGACTCAGTTGTCCCTGACACAGTGGAGAGTGCAAACTCCAGTCTGCTTTGTGGGACCGAACTGGTGGACTATCCTCTTTGGCAAGATGCAGAAGCTCCATGCATGCCATGAGTGCACCACTCCACCATGCCACGGTTTGCCAGTGACAAGCCTCCCTTTCAGCATGTGCCTCTAGTTACAACCTCATTGTCACTTGGTAACACGGAGGAAGCTCTCGGAGCAATCTTCTGCACACTGTTGATGCTGGGTTTCTGGTCTCAGGGACTACCCAATTAAACAAATTCCTTCAGATGTGCATTTCCTTTCAATCTGCAAATGCAAAATAGGGGGAGGGGAGAGGGGGGAGAAAAAGCTTCATCATCCCGAGACATGATGAGACAAAGAGATGTGTAGCAGAAACATTAAGTAGACTCGAATGATTATTCTGATTTTGTTCAGTGTGCTTGTGCAGGATAGTGGTGTCAGTGGCGAGGAAGACAAGCACTGTGGTTGTTTTAATCAAGCACTTAGAGCTGAAATCCGCTTGCTGATCTAAAATCTATTAGGAACTCTAATCAACCTTTGACACCAGCATCCAATTATGGAAATAATCCACTGGAAATAAAAAGAAAGGATAAATATTCACACAACTTTCACCTCTAGGTACCAAAAAAATAAAAAATGCCAGATCAGCACAAAGACCATGGAGTCACCGGAAAGGGCAAACTCCAGGAAGACCTACAAATGACAAGCTTCCCCCCACCTTTGAAGGAAGAGTCTAATTAGGAAGAGGCAAGCAAATCCCTTGTAGCTCAATAATCCAGGATCTCTAGTCACTCATGGAAATCTGATAATCCCAGGAGAAGAGAAAGCAGCACTTTCCGAAAGCAGATCTCCAGCCCTGATTAAAAACGCTTGCAATGGAATTATGCCTCAAAGACGGAATGGGGGGGTTCAAAGAAAGGCAGACACGTTCTCTGGGTGCAACGAATGCCACAACAGGAAAACTTGGGGTAGAAAAAGAAAAACGCCTGTTACTTTACGGAGGAGGAAAGAGGGAGAGATCCAGTGCAGACGTTTAAACATCTGTCTATTCGTAAAGGAAAAGCAGTATAAATGTACGGATTTGTGTCTCTCTTTTTGACTCCGTATTACGATTGCCTACATTTACATCTCACCTCTCCTCTAAAGACAGGCAGCACCCACGGAGGCGAGGAAACAGAATGAAAACAGATTAAAAACAAATGAAAAGCAGATCCAAGCATAAAGCCGTTAAATCACAAAATAAAAAATCAAAGCAATGAAGATCACGCACATTTGCAACTAAAAGCCACGTGGGTGCGTATAATTTTTAATTAACGTTGCCCTGTGGACACCAACGGATTCATCCGCCGAAGGATACATTCCCATCAAGAAAAAGGCGCTTCCCATTATTTATCTTCCCGAGTTTTGTTTTTAATCCACAAAGTGCAAACCATCCCAATTAGCCAGACCCGGATCGTCCCTTCTGCTGCTTTGCCCCTCCTCGCATACCTGTCCCATCTATGCCGCCTCCTTGGGGCAGCGGAGGAGACCTCACCGCCCATCCCCGGCTGGTCCAGCTAAGTCTTCTCGGTAGCCACTTGTAGCCACCAACCTCCCTCCACGCGTCTTCTCTAGTCCTGGCTCTTGAGGGGAGGGTGCAGGAGAGAAACTGTGTGTGCGTGAGAGTGAGAGAGAGAGACACAGAGAGAGAGAATTGGGATGCGCCAGCTGGGAGGAGCCCCGTATTGCATTCTGGGAGATGTAGTCCTGGTCGTGTGCGCTAAAAAGTCTGTTCGAAAGTTCTTGCGCGGCCGCGCGTGGACTCAGGCAGAGACACGATTTCCCCCCGGAATGGATCTCAGGATTTATTTTCCAGGTAGCTGACAGGAGCCGCGTTTAGTGCTCCTGGGGTTGTTGATTGCATTTAGGATTTTGGAGGAGGGAAGAAGCGGGATGTTCTAGCGAGGTTAATGGTTTTGCAATTCAGCAAAATCCGGAGCACCGCATTTGGGCTGAAGTCCCGAACAGACCAGTAAACCTCGTCCCCTGAAAGCAGTAGGATTTGCTTGTGAGTAAATCTGACTGGTGTGTGTGTGTGTTGCTTTAGGATCTACTACAGGTTCTATGGTGACAGTTAAGGTTCTGATACCCAGTGTGGTGTAGTGCAGTGGTCCCCAACGTTGGGCCTCCAGATGTTCTTGGACTACAACTCCCAGAAGCCTTCACTGCCACCTCTGCTGGCCAGGATTTCTGGAAGTCCAAGAACATCTGGAGGCCCAACGTTGGGAACCACTGGTGTAGTGGATAGAACGATGGACTAGGACTCCGGAGGCCTGGGTTCAATTCCCGATCAGTCAAGAAAACTTACTGGGGGTGTGGAACACGATGGACTAGGACTCCGGAGGCCTGGGTTCAATTCCCGATCTGTCAAGAAAACTTACTGGGGGTGTGGAACTGGTAAAGCCATTCCTTAAATATTTCACCTTGGAAGCCCTATTAGGGCTGCTATCAGTCGGTTCTGACTTGCCCTTGATATTTAATGGTAATCTTCAGATCTCATCAGTGCTAGAAGAATACAAAAGTGATAAATACATGGTAACATATGTATGTAGACAGTTATCGTCTCCTTCCAAAGGACTGTGAAATGCATAAGACCATATACAATGCAAATCAGTTTACATGAGAGTTAGTGGCACTTAGGATCAGGAGCTAAATATCATCTTGTTCAGCCTGAGCTACTTCACAGGGTTGTGAAAATGAAAGGGAGGAGGAAGAGACAAACAAAGAATGAAATTTGTAAACAGGCTGGCTCTACTGCCAGGAGGGAAATCGAGCCCCCCCCCCAAACCTCTGGTTCAATGAACTGCTGAGCTATCTGACCAGCTCTATGGAAGAAAAGTGGGATAGAAATCCAAGAAGTGAACAAGTGAAGCGATTATTCAGAGCAAGAAGAACTTGAGAATTATTGAACATGGGGGAAGTCGGATAGAAAGTACAGTAATGAGATATGAGGTAGACGGTAATAGCGACACATTAGTGGAAAATAACAGCAGTAATAATACTGTGGTGGATCACTGTAATTCAGCTCTTAGATTTTAATGGAGAGCCACAGCCTTTACAGGTGAAAGGTCTTTCTGATTCTTGCATTTCGTTTTGGACTGAAAACCATGAAACGGTCACAATCTGTTTTGTACTCTTTATAATGGTATATATTTGTTCTGCCAAAGATGTCAAGTGTGAAGGTGGTGAGAAAGAATGCATAGCAACACGGAGCCTTCTGCAAACCCAAATAAAACTTCCTATAAGATTGATTCAGATGACAGAAGAAGGAGCAAAGAGAGAGCCTCCTCTCTGTTTTCATTCTCTCCTCCTCCCCACCCTGAATTCACACATGCACATTCACCACACTCTGACTGAAGCAGGGAGGACCTGAATGTGTGAAACAGCCACTGCATTTCAAATCAGGCAGACAGAGCTTGTTGGCGTCGCAGTAAACGCAACGTTTCTCAGTGGGGGAAGTCACAAGGTCAAGTGATAAACTAGTGGGTGTCACAGCTTGCTCGGATGCTTGATGGTAGAGGATGTGCTTTGTACATAGAAGTCCATAGAGTCAATCCTCGGCATCTCCAGTGTTTTTTAGAAACTTATTTTTCAAAGTCAAGAAGCAGATGATGGAGGAGGAAACATTTCTGCCTAAAGAGCTGCACTGGAGCTGATAGTCAGACTAGACCAGCTTTTCCCAGCCTTAGCTCCCCAGATGTTCTTAGACTAAAACTCCTCTAAAAACCTGCACTGGAGCTGATAGACTAAGACCACCTCTTCCCAGCCTTAGGTCCCCAGATGTTCGTGGACTAAAACTCCCAGATTTGACCACATCTCCCCAGTCCTGGCTCTCCTGCACTGGTTGCCAGTTTCATCCTGGGTCAGGTTCAAGGTCTTGACCCTTTCTTATAAAACCCTCCATGGTTTGGGCCTCTTTCCCCAAGGTCATCTTCCTCTGCCGTCAGATCCTCCCAGGCTGTACTCCTCCAGGTGGCCATGCCAAGGGGAGCCAGAGAATCCTCAACATCCCTTGTGAATCACCTGGCCCCCTCGCTTCAGAGGCTGCTGAAAACCCATCTCTTTTGAGAGGTGTTCAAAGGCAGCCTCCTCTGAAGTTATTTCACCCTTACAATGGCTGCTCTGTTTTGCGTCACCATTAAGTTTTAATGCTAGTTTCTGTTCTGTTTGGTTGTTTTATTTTGCTGGCATTGTGCCATTTGGTTGTTTTATGTACACACCATCCAGAATAGTGCTGTTCTCTAATGGGTCAGTAAATACATACATACCCAGTTTCCCCAAAAATAAGACAGGATCTTATATTACTTTTTTTGCTCCAAAAATGCATTAGGGCTCATTTTCAGGGGATGCTTTATTTTTTTCTACATTTATTCATATAAAGTCATATCTTCTTCTGGTTGCCGCACAATGGTGGAGGGCAGGGTTTCACTTAACTGGGGCTTATTTTGGGGGTAGGGCTTATATTACGAGCATCCTGAAAAATCATACTAGGGCTTATTTTCAGGTTAGATCTTGTTTTCGGGGAAACAAGGAAACATACATACATACATACATACATACATACATACATACATACATACATACATACATACATACATACATACATACATACATACATACATACATACATACAATTACTAGCTGTGCTGGCCATAATTTCTGGAAGTTGTAGTCCAAGAACATATGGGGGCCCAAGGCTGGGAACCAGTGTACCAGGCAATATGTTCATGTGTAACTTCTCAAGAATTCTAGTCCCTGATGTGGGATAAGAAGCAGATTCAAGACCAGCTAGAAAAGTTACTCTTGAAACTTGAAGGAAGCTCCTGGAATCCTGCTAGTCAGCATAACTACAGGTTATGTTGCCTGGTAGAATTCTGGGCTGGGAACTGTTATCCAAAATGTTGCTTTCTGGAACTCTGGGAATAGATTAGGGCTTAATTTGCTCAAGACACTTTGCTGCTGCCTGAGGCAAAGAACAAGAGGGTGCCTTCTCCTGCTCCATGGGCAAAATATATTAGACCACTGGTTCTTAACCTTGGGTTACTCAGGAGTTTTGGACTGCAACTCCCAGAAGCCTTCACCACCAACTGTGCTGGTTGGCGTTTCTGGGAGTTGCAGTTAGGCAAAATATATTAGACCACCAGCTGAATCTTTTTTCAGCACTGGCAATGGAACAGGAGGGCCCTGGATCCAATGATCTCACCACATTTTGCAAGCTAAGCAAGATTAGGGACTGATTGCTACTTTGATGGGAGACCACTAGGTAATGCCAATAATCTCAAGGGTAAGGCTTAAGAAAGAATGTGGCCTGAAACCTGGAGACCTGCTGCCAGGCAGAGCTGGAAATACTGGGCTAGATGGGCCAATGTTCTATCTCAATATATGGTGATTTCCTCTGTTTCCTTGCCTGGATTTAGCCTCCCTGGATGGGCCAATGTTCTATCTCAATACAGTATATGGCGATTTCCCCTGTTTCCTTGCCTGGATTTAGCCTCCCTGAAGCTCTGTCCCACTCTTGTTTCCCATACTGCCTCTGAGTCCAGAGACAGGCTATAACCATCATAAGTACAGTGGTGCCTCGCTAGACAGTTACCCCGCATGACAGTTTTTTCGCTAGACATTGACTGTTTGCTATCGCTATAGCGATTTGCAAAACAGTGATTCCTATGGGGGAATTTTGCTGGACAATGTTTGGTCCCTGCTTCGCAAACCAATTTTTGCTAGACAACAATTTTGACAGCTCCCTCCGCGCTCGCAAAATGGGTGTTTTCAGGACCTAAGCTTTGCAAGACAGGTATTTAAACAGCTAATCGGTGGTTTGCAAAGCAGCTTTCCTATGGCAGATCTTCGCTAGACAACAACAATTGTCCCCATTGGAATGCATTAAACAGGTTTCAATGCATTCCAATAGGGAAATGCTTTTCGCTAGACAATGATTTCACAAAACAGCTATTTCAGTGAAATGGATTAACATCGTCTAGCAAGGCACCACTGTAAGGCATTTGATAGTCATAGTATTAGAGAGAAAAAATTAGGTCAGTGTCTTTTCTTGGCAAAAATCCATTTAGATTTATAAAATGGGGAGTAGGTGGTATATTCACTTAGGTGAGTAGGTGGTATATTTGGGATACCAGTATATTCAACTAGTATCCCAAACTAGAGTAGACCCATTGAATCAATGGGATTTATATCATTTTTGACTATAGTTTCAAAATATATAATTTTTTTAAAATTGTGTGTTGGAGTTTTGAAATTTGAATTAGCGTGTTTTAATTATTTGGGATTTTAAAATACTTTATTGTGACCCTGCAACAGGAGAAAGGCAGCATAGAAAATACAATAGAATAAATGGCTATGAGTGCTAGTTTTTCAGCACAATATTATAATATGGCTTTATATGAGATTACCATGTGAGCTGTCCAGAGTTCTGATCACATCATTGTGGAAAGAACTTTTTCTTCTGGTAGATCATTTACCTCTTGGTTCAAGAGTGAGTTCCAGAAGATTTCTTCCAAAAGGAAAATAAATACTGTATTTGGCTTAACTCCAAATTATTGCCTAAGAGAAACTTATCCCTGGTCATTAATGACAAATAAATGAATAGGTGG